AAGTACCTATAATAAATAAACTTAAATTTTATTTTAGTTTTTCATACAAAAAGTTTATATATAACTCTCGCATTATATCATTGTTATTATTAAGTCAACTTAAATTATGACCTACTTTTATTATTTATGAAAGCCAGTAGGTTGCTGTGCTCACGTACATACATTCAGGTAAACCTGACAATAAATACGGGTGACGCGACGTTGATCGAGTCGACACATTTATCTAAACGCTGGGAATTTCGTTCACGTACGATCCAGTTTATTAGTTACTCTGAAAAATTACCAGTCTTTAGCTAATTTGCCGTTATTTGATACGGGAGTAACGATTAGGAATTATCCTTAAAGGGAAGTAAAGAAAATTTTTATCCTGTCTAAAAATGTGAAGAGAAAAAATAACAACTTATCACTAGGGTCCACTTTAAAAGCACTTAGTAAGCCAATATAAGAATATTGCAACCCATAATGCAACTTCGATAACTCAAAACAGCAACTCATTCCACTATCGTTAGCCGCTAATGACTTCTCAGCACTCAAGTCACACTCAATTCAGTCGCCATAATAGCCGAAGTTCAACCTTGAGACGTGACTATAAAACCTTTACATGGCATCCAGGTCGATTCAAAACTGTATAGAGTAGTCTTGACAGTATTTAAAACTTATTCTTAAATTTAAAATCTTTAAACAACTGTATAAAATCCTTAAACAACTTTATGTTACCATTCTAACTTTCTTGACGTGTGTGACGACTTTAACAATATTACTGTTAGTTTTATAACATAAAATTGTAAACAATTTCATCAGAGGCATTAACTTTATCGCTTTCTTAGAGAGAATTTAAATCACTTGAACATAAACCAAATATAAACCAGATGGAAGGCTCATTCGTGGGGGACACCGATCAAAAGATATATTTAAATCATTTCAATTAATTAGGATAATTTCACGCTAGTCCGGTTTATGACAATTTGTAGTTATTAGTAATATTATATTATATCAGTTGAACTATGCTATTTTTTTAAATACAATTAGTCATCAATAATTTATGATAGTAATTTATTATTAGTGCACCCTATTTTTAAAATATTAATTTTTTTTGTTAACTAAAATTAATATAAAAGTATCAAGTATGCTCAATCTGGCTACAAATAAAAAGAAAAGAAGACTTAACACCTCATGTTAAACTACATAAAGCTACAAAACTTCGAACACCAGTTTATTCACACTAAAACGGTATTCGAAAGTGGTCACAGATACATCGCTTAACCAAGCTTAACACAGCTTAAATTAGTTACACAGAGCTATGTAATCGCACTAAAATGAGTAGGGATTTTTGCAGTAGCTGGAAAAAATTAAAACTCAATGTGGCACAGGGTTCAGAAAACTGTCATTTCAGAAATGATGTGGCTCAAAATAAAGATATTATGAAAAAAGATAGAGGTAAGTCATAATATACAACCTCACTAATAATATTTGCACGAATGATGATTAAATCAAAAATTAAATATTAATTTATAATTGAATCTAATAAAATTAATTGGTAGAACATTCATAAAAAAGTACAAAGCTACTTAAGCCACTAAAATTCAAATAAATACAGAATTTTAAACCCCACTTAAGTTTATTGCATGACATTATTATATACATACTAGCTTTCCGCCCGCAGCTTCGCCGCGTGGAGTTCGGTTATATCGCGTTTCCAAGAGAACCTTTCAAAAGTCTGGGATAAAAACTATCCTATGTTCTTTCTCAAGGTCAACTCTATCTCTGTACCGAATTTCATTAAAATCAGTTCAGTGGTTTAGGCGTGAAAGCGTAGCAGACAGACAGACAGACAGACAGACAGACAGACAGAGTTACTTTCGCATTTATAATATTAGTAGGGATATTTCATACAATGATTATTAATTTAGAAATTATGTTAATAAGTTGAGAAATCGATTGTCTAAGGCAATCCCCCTCAATAAACCACGAGACAAATATGTAGATCAGATGCATATATACTTAGGGATAGTGTCAGGTATCTCGTCTAAAAATAAGAGTTTTTCAATCCATTTACTTTATCAATATTATGTTTCGAAATAGGCAACAACCACGCATAGATTTAAAAAGAAAAAGAGGAATACTATAAAGTGATTATTAGTTAGTGATATGTAATTATGATCCTAAATTTTTTTTAATTATCTAAAGCAATCCAAAGGAAACCATTAATACTTTATTTATCACATCGCGGTTTCTTAATATAGAAGCATATAAAATCCCTCTTGTCAATTTTGGAAAAATAAATCGAAGACAGAATGTCATTATAGAAAAGTTATATACTTTTACTTATTTTGGCATTAACGATGATTGCGCTTACAGTATAACCCGGGAGAACAGCTTTCCGGAAATATATTCAAAGGCTTTTATAGGGAGAGGGAGAAGAGAAGTGCATTAGTATTGATGGTGTCTTTAGCGACTTCATACTTTTTTAATCTATTCAAAAAATCCTCATGTCTGTTATTCGTAAAAAAATTCAACTTGCAGAGAATGGACATTATTCTCATTCTTAACATAGGAGAAGATGCATTACATTTTATTCTTCGTTTTAAAGTATTCTTTTATCACTAAGAATTCGAGAATCGTATACCTAACAGTAATAATATATTATGTTTTAAATGTCTTAGAACGGATTTGACAGTTATAAGTACCATAATTTAATAATTGCAAATGTGTTTCTGGTTTAATGTTTGTTTATATATGTACATCAAACCTCTATCAATTCTTCAAATTTTTTAGCATATTTAGAGGTTTATAAAGTTATAAAGAGCACATAATATTTGGTGCCCTACATAAGATGAGGAACAATTTAACAGCGTCTTCTTTAATGAATTCATTTAAGTTTAGGTATTTTCCACCCCTTCATTTTGCAGATTAAGGGTAATGATATCTATGAAATCGTGATTATATCTGTAATAGTACTTTCATATCCAAAACATACATAACTTTAATTAAGGGTCCATATGCCAACATTTCACAAAACCTGTATTATAAACAATTATGACATGATCATGATTAAGAACATGAGGATTATGCTATTGGGAGAAAAACCATTTGTGACCCCTGATTATTATTAATAAAATTTACATGGTCCTACGATAGGTTGTGCCATTTTAATATTAAAAATATTTGATTATTAAATATATTAATCATGAGATCATCAAAAAACGATCCGATCTATGGAGACGATGAGCTATTCTTAGATGTTCTACATAAATCCTTATCCAAGAAATGCATTAAAAACCTGAAACTTCCTGAATGTATTCTATTCATTGAAATAAATTTGATGAGTAATTTGGCCGTAATATGCTCTTTCTAATATTTTTAGGGACGCAATTTGTTTTTTTAGATTTCATCATTCTAATTATTATTCTTACATTTATAGCATTAACTTTAAATATCACTTGTTTATTTCTCCTAAATCTACTTTCAATAGATATCTATTTCAAGTACGTCAACAATCTTATCTAAGAACATTTTAGGCAAACCTTAAATGCAAATTATGTGAATAAGGTTGCTGACAAACGTTATTTGTTTAAATACCAAGATTCTAAAATCCAATATTAATTTTACTAAATAATCGAATGTTTTTCAAATTCATAAATATTTAATCAATTTTAATTTTCACGCACCCATAAAAATTTAAATAAAGGAAATGCTTCTTTTCAAATTTTTCATGATAGTTAAATTGCCTTGACTCGTTGAAATAATAAAGAAATTAAATCGTATCAAATTACATGTTAACGTTTTATTTCATTCTACGAAGAGAGATATTAAATTCATAAAAGCAATATAAGCCTCCTTGGGACGTTCTAATTATAGGCACAGGAAAGAGGGTGGTTGTTTTCCGTAAGTTGAAACTTGATATTCCCATTTTCTGATGGTGTTAATATAAATTAAAATACAAAATAGTACGAAATGTATGCTCATTACATTGTCCGTACAATCCATGGAGAGAGGCTAACAAATTGAGCTAATTTACGTAAAAACATCGAAAAGGGAAGAGATAAGAAATGGCTTTCGAAATTGGACGTCACTGGATGTTATTTTTCCTTTAGAGGCCGCAAAAGGTCTAAATAGATGCGATTATGGGCAACCCTTATACTATACCGGGAAAGAATAAATAATTTACAAAAGGTTTTTTGTGTATTTTGTAGTAACACTTTTAATAATAACCACGTTTTTTATGTTAATTATTTTTTTAAAAATAAACTGGTTTAATTCAAGGTTAAAATATATATATATATATATATATATATATATATATATATATATATATATATATATATATATATATATTAAAGAGAAAATATTAACAAAGCATTTATTGAAACTTGAAATAAAAAGAACAATTTAAATAAATTATATAAACACAATATCTTCTTTATGCTAGAGATAGCAATAAAATCAACACGAGATTTAAACAATATTTTACTTATTTTATTATGTGTGTTAGAAAATTGGAACCAAAAAAATTTAATCAATTTGTGGCGTCGGCAGTCCTGGCATTTTCACGTGCAAACCTGAATATTTAAGCAACCGCCCATACGAATAACGCAAATTGTGATTTGCATAAGCATTCTGTGCCACGTTGTGTTGGCTTTCACAGAATTATTCCGCCATTTGCGGCGTTCACACCTGCACATCGTTTTATCTTTATGGCCCTTGTTTAAATTTACCAAATCGAGCATCAAAGTATTTGCTACACCTTCACATCACAGAAACTGCTATTGATCTGTAGCCACCGATCTCGCTCCGATGACTTCTTTAACATTACTAGTTGCCTCGCTTTAATCTCATTACGTTACCGTTCACGAGTAATAAATATTGTTAATAAATAGATTTATGTCCCATACTTTTAATTTGCCACGTTACCCAAATAATTTATTTTATTTTTCCTAAAATTATATATTTTACGCATATTAGTATTTTGCAAAGTAGTTATTTTGTACATATTTATCAATATGGATCAGTTAACAAATTTTCTCGTGTATAATAAAACACCCACATGCAAAAATAGCATGAATTACGAAGCTTTACTAATAGCTAAAAAAGAACGAAATCAAAAAGAAGGAGAAATTGATAAGAGACTTCTACTACTCTCGCCAGATCTTGGAAGAATGACTGAAGGTATGTATACATATTTTGTTTTTATGACCTAAAACATTTCTTCCTACGTTGTTGTTGAAAAAAATGTAAACTTAAATAAGTTTATCTCTCATAACATAATGACACTATTTATTCTTAAAATGTTCGTAGTTTATAATTAATATTATGATTTAACACTTAAGTATTATTTACAATTTTATATTTCTTTAAGAAAATACCAATTGTCATCCGATTACATTATTTTCTTTTCATTTTAAATTATATTTTTAAATAGATTTCAATGTTTTGTGTATTTATATGTATTAAAAATTAAATTATTTCAAAGCAAGACTTAATACAAGAACTCTCCAGGGTTTAATTAAGTCAAATATGTTTAGTTTTTTTTAAGATCAAAATGAATCCAATTAAATATTTAATAGGGTTTAAAATTTTTAAATTAATTTTATATAACCTATAACTCCAGGATAATAGATGGTCGATAATGATACTTATTAAACACTTCAGAGCCTTTTACTTCTTCTTTCTTTTCTGAAAATAGAAATAAATTTTGAACCTATATTTGTCTTAGAATTAAAAACTATAGATTTTATTATATATATACGTTCTCCTCCCTACGATTACAACGATTTAGAATAGTGTTTATATGTTCAATGTAATACTAGTTTACTTTGATGTGTGTTCATATTACTGATTACTTTGATGGAAGTACAGGTGATGTGCAAGATATAAACGATTACAGAATTATAACTACTTTTAAACAATTATTACTATTCCGTTTTCTTTAAGGGAATAATATATCCATATATAATATAGCATTTCTGTCTGTAGGATATATGCATACGATCACTGGATGAATGAATGAATCTTTATAATTAAAAATATATGTAATATATACAAAAAAATCTTACATGCAAAACAAAAACTCAAAAACATGTATATCGATATAAATAACAATGTATCTCAACATATATGTACATAACGTGTAAGTGGCCAAATTTAATCATATCATGACATCACCGAAAGTTGAATTTCACTGTAAAAGAAATGTACATTTAATACTCAATAACTCTGTCCAAATTTTAAATGAAAAGATATATCTCATTGCAGGGAATTGACAAAATTAAATTTAAAATGATTCGGATAATCCGACGCTTTAAACAGAACCATGAGGTAGGCAATTTTAGCCAATAGCTAAGGGAAAACTTTTCTAAGAAATAAGTTTTGCAAGAGGTAACTATTCTAATAAGGTAAGTTATATGAAAACTCTTGAAAATATCATTTATTTTCGTTTTACGTGTGCAATGATATATATTCGTATGTCAGTTAAATATAAATTTATTAATTATTTAACAATTGACTATTTGTAATGTTTTGGTGACTTTTTTTATGTCTTTCTTTTCTAATTTATTATTCCTTGAACTAAAAAAATATATCTTAAATGATTATAATAAATAAAGTATACGAGGACTTTTATTATAATTAGTCCAAGTTATAAGAACATTGTCTTGTTCTTATCATATCAATTTAGTTTTCAATTGAACATAATTCAAATTATCGCTTTCGCTCATGACTTATGCGAACATTCTAAAATCGCAACAGTTAAGTCATCGGTTTAGTCAGTAATTGGCCTCTTCCACGGCTAAACCTTACTCTGGACTGTAAAAAAAATATTTAAATTTCGTTAATCATTACAGCAACAATTATATGTATAACACTTCAAACTAGAGTTTAAAAATATAACGAGATGGATGACGATCTTTTTGAATATAAGCCTAAAGGTAAGATATATTTTAATGTAATGGAAGATTCACTTCTTTCCTCTGTCCAGTTGGAAGTACATATATGTTATGATTATTTATAATATTAAAAGGAATAATTGGTGAAAAGCATATAATGTGATCTACTGCATGTTCAATGTTAAACTGTTTGTAGCTACGTAATTACAGAACATTTGAATGCTGAGCAGAGATAAGCGAAACGAGGCGTTATCTAGAAACGTTTTGTTTGTTCCAGCAATTTGCGTTTAGATGGATATTTGTTGTTTTACTGCTTTAAGCCAAATGTAATGTGAAAAAAACGTTTATCGTCCTCTATATACTCGTAGTAATATTTATAATTTCATAAGACTACTTAGGTCTTGACACTGAGTGCGGTTTTTGTAACGATAGTTAATATTATCTCTAGATCAAATTTAAATTGAACATTTGCATTGTAATTTATTGCATTACTTAAATTAAAGTTTCATTGAGATTTTAATTTCATTTATAAAAAACTTTATAGAATTTAATTTAAATGTTGTTAGATAATTACTTAAAAGGTGATACCAGGCACAAATTATTAGTTTCAAATACATATTATTCATTATATTTTTTGTATAAATATATATTTTTTTTTTTTTATGTAAAAAGTGGCAAACGAGCAGACGGCCCACTTGATGGTCAGTAGTAACCGTCGCCCATAGACATCCACAACATAGATGTTGTGGATGCGTTGCCAACCTAAATTGTGCGGGAAAAGGGAGGGGTAGGAATAAGGAAATATAAGGAAAGGTTGGGAACAGGGAAAGGGCAACCGGCTCTCTCACTCATCGGACGAAACGCAGTCATTATTGACTACTTCACGCCGATCTTCTGTGAGAGGGTGGTACTTACCCGGTCGAGCCTGCCCACAATCGAGAGGTAGTAACTAAACTACAGCTAGGCTCTACCACCTTTGGAGTTAATAAATAAAGTTAATAAAGTTAATAAATTAACATTATTACTAATAAAATACCAATCTCAATATTTTTTTATATATATTATTTTTCTTTTATTATTCTATTAATCTCAATTATAAAGAATCGTTGCCAATTGGTTAGTTAGAGTTAGTGTTATGAAAAGAAAATACTTTAAATCAATTGTTTCATACATTGATTTGTATAAAAGCTGTATTGTCACTTTAAAGTATTTAAAATAAACTGTAATACACAGGTGCAGATGTAAAAACCGTATATTTCAAGCTATCAATTTTAATGTGTCAATGTGCTATCTAAATGGGTGCACTGTAGTTCATCCAACACCTAAATAAAGCAATGCAAAAAAAACATACAAAAATTATGGTGCTTTATAAAATAACGCCATTTTGAAATATGGAGCTGGTTTATATTGCAACGGTGCACGAAGGCGTGATTCTAAAAATAAAGATTAATTTCCTATAGATGGTAAGACTTCAGTATGGAAATTACAATCTTCTTTTAAATTGGATTTTTAATTCTTTTTACAGTCGACAAATATTCATTTCAGATTATATTCTTACCATTCGGAGGTAAGAAGAGTATTTTAATATAAAAATCCTATAATATATAAACATATAACATAACAAATACAAGAAATACTTAAAATAGACATATAGGTCCTTATTTATATAACATATAAGTGTTGTTAATCATGACAAATAGCAATTTGAGTTTAATTCTGTTTTCTGTAGACGATTTAAATCCACGCTACTGTAGAAAGCATTTTTGACATGTTTTAAACCAACTGACATTGAAATTTATAAATCAGTGTTAAATTTTATATGTACTTCTAGATGGAGGGTACCTATAAATGTTTCTGTTTGATACCAATCCCCGACTTAGCATGACGTATTTGCGTCAGCTTATGCAGCTGATACGCCCTTAATATCGCAATATTTAGTTCTATTTCTGCTGTACTTATCAGAAAAGTCAATTTTGCTTGCGGTTTAATCACAATTTGTAACCGACGCGCGAGTGATACGTTTCAAATGAAATCGTTTGAGGTCGGCTGGTTCATTCTAGTATGAGCAAGAATATTGAAGATGTTTTGTTCGAATACTAATACTTTAGACGGTATGTATTTAACATATAATGTGTAACCTAACAACTTCATATACATATATTTATACTTCATATATGTCTCTACTTTATATATGTCTAGCTAATAATTATTAGAAATTTTACATAAAAAAATAATACATTAATGCGTATTGCTTGTCAACTGAGAATTTCGAACTAAATACAATCAGTCTTTAACATTTAATATCACTAATGCTAGAAATAAATTATCAGATAACCAAAATTTCCCGATTGACATAACATTATCTAATTACCTAAAGACTATATGTAAATAAAACATTAATCATGGTTAGTTCAGTATTTATACATAGAATAATGAAGTAACTAATTACTAGACAAACGAACGAATGAGCAAACACTCCCATATTATTATAGAAAATATATTTGAAATAATAATTTGATGTATAAATTTTAGATACTTATTTATACAAAAGTTCTCAGACAACTATCTAATAAATATAGAACTTTAAAACCGTAAATATAGTTCGGTTCCATTATATCAATTGTGGGACTATTTCACACGAACACGAATGCAATTACCATGAACCTCAACATCCACTTACATTTCTATTCTATGCTTTATACATTTGGAATCAATCTCACATCACCTTTCAATACACCTTCAGTATCAGTGGAATTCGAAGGCTGGAACCGTTCGCATCTCTCGAGCAATTAAACTATAACATTTCTTTTTCTTCTTCACATCTTTCAACTCTCATTACTTGTTACTAAATACTTATTTCGTTTTATCAACAGTAATTGACAGTAAAAACATAACATTTATTAAAACATTTCGTGTTTCATTAGTTTTATACTGATATGAATACCATAATAAGGAAACAGGCCTTAGGAACATCGCAGGAAGAGTTTTATGGTACGAATGTAGTCTTCGAAAAAAACACATACTTAACTTTTTTTTACATAGGTCTATTAATAATTCCAAATATATTGAATTCATTTCGAGGCAATCCAAACATAAGCATAACAACAGCATTTGATTTTTGAATCGTTCGATTCCAGAGCGTGTGTTATACGCAAGAAACCGGCAAGTTGGTGCTCGTCCTTCAGTGGTTGGTGGCAAACCTATTACTGAAGATTTGGCTATCGTGAGTACAGAGCAGATCTAAGTACTATCGAAATTTTACTATAATGCTAACTTTATTCAATATTTTGTAGGAGCTCCGAATGACAGCCTTTGGAACTGCATCATGCCCGCCTCGTGGGGAGTGGATACACACTCCACTTGTGATGAGACCTTCTGATCATCCTCTAGCTTATGGTTTGGCAGCTCCCAGAAATGGAACTCGGTCTCTGCTGTCTGGTCTTCAGGCTCACATCATCAAATGGCTTCTGTTCGACTCTCGGCCTCTGACAAAAGATAATAAATCTATGGAACCACCTGACAGGTAGCATTATTCTTTTATTAAGAATTTATAAAACAACTTTCGACGGCAAAATAAAGAAAAATAGATAAAGTTTTGCAACTAGAAGTTAAATTCTGAACCCATGTATTCTGGTTACAACCTAAAATATACAGAACATTTATATTAAAAAATTTTTTGCTTTTGCAACAACTTTTTCGAGTTTTCCACAAAGTATCATAAAGGCATATTATATCAAAGGTATAAAATTTAAATGAATATATTTAATACATGTATAAGCTAGATATTTTATTTATAGATTATATTTAAAAAGGCAATTTTTATAAGCCTCTCAAAAATAACATGATGAAACGACTTAGCGGAATAAGCGTTTGTCAGAAAAACATTAAATCGATATTTAAAATTTTAGAATTGAAGATAACCACTAGTTTTTTTTTGTTTGTCGTTAAGGTGACACTTTCATCTCGTCTGCCCTTGAACATGGTTGCTGAAAATTAATTGAAGCGTCGGGAAAATGTAGCTAGATATATAATAATAAAATACTTAGTTTCATTTCAACCTTAAAGTATTTATATTAATTCGGTCTATTTACAAATAGCTTCTTTAAAAAAAAATGTACTTTTTACTGTAAGAAAATTTAAAATATGTACTTCTTCTAACTTTTTAAAAATGTACTTTACAGTGCTACGATATTTCTTGCAAAATATCTATAAGATTCCCCCAGGGGAAATCGGTATGTTTAACCTCACCAGACAGATTTTTGGTAAACAATTTTCGAAGCTTACGTACATACACTGCATCGAACGATAATTCAGAAGGAATGGCTTTTGTGATATCCATACAATATTGTTAGTTGAAGTAACAGGCTTAATTTACAGATATATTATTTCACATTCTTTTTAATAGATCTATAAAATAAACTGCCAATTTTTCACCAATAAATAATTTAGTAGTTACTTAATACTATTTTTATATTATACAATACAAATGAATAAAATATAATAATTTTAAATGAAAAAATATTCTATATTTAATACCATTATATAACAATTTCCAACCAAATACACCTTTAATCCTTTACAGGAACACGTGATATGTTATACGCTTCAAAATGCCGATCATTATTCTCTAAAACGCCACGTGCTTTAGCATAAATCTATTCCATGGCATGACAATATTTTACTTAAATAGCGGATATTATGGGGTATTCTAAATTTTGTACTGTTAAATCATTGCAATATATTATTAATAAAATTAAATGCTTTATAAGATATTGCATTTAATTTATGAATTATGTAACATTAAAAAACATATGAATCGTTATTTTTTTTGCTTCTGACGGAGCATTATAAAATACCAATGTCTACAGTCTTTAAGATAGTATGAGGTATCTTATTTCCACTGATAGCATATACCTACTAGTTTTGTTTTATGTGAAACGTCTTGATTTCCAACTGTGCTGAAATATAAGCTTACTCTCTATTTATGATTACAAAGTCACATTACATTCAAATAATAACTGAAGGATATTTTCATATCCTTTTTATTTCCGTGTAAGTTTATTAGGATGAATAGGTATATAATTTGTGCTGTGTTGGAGTATTCTTATGTAATATATTGAGTGCTCTATTCTAGTTACCTTCGTCCATCTGAAGAACGTCAAGAAGAAGCACTGTGGCGGGCGTGCAGTGAAGTTATCTGGCGCTGTGGTGGAGGTTTTAATGCCCAGACTGATGCTAAGGTTACAGTGACACTTCCTACCAATCAAGTATACATACAACATAGTTCACAATATTACCAAGATGGAATCACTGAGATGGTAAGCTAAATAAATTTAAAAATAGCTATATACTTATTATTTTATTGATAAACTTTAATAACTTATTACCAGGAAATGTTTTATAAATTTGATATGCCTATTTAAAGCTGCATTTGTTTGAATTCAAAAGTTTGGAGGACTTGCAGATCTTTTTGAAGCGATACTTGTATTTGGTGAGTTTAGTTATTATTTTTATTGATACTAACCCTTACAAAAACATCAAATCATTATTTTATTATCTAAGACCAAAGATTTAGCTAACTTAAAAATAATGTTACTAAGCTGAAAAGCCACATGGAGTCAGCTAAGTCTTAAGATAATCATTGTCGTCTTTCTCAGAACTTTACCAATAGGGTTGTATGCCTAACAGTATTATAAGTTTAGATACAAATCAAATGATCATTTGTTATTTTGGCCCAACTTAAATTTAAACATTTGAGATATATATACATATATATATAGAACTGTACATCAGTATGTATGATATCAGGTATCGGTATACCTGATATAAAACTTGACCGTGTAAAATGATGATCTTATAAACAAAGATTTTATTTTCTCATTAATAACTTGTTAATACCCTTGTAAGGAGATGTACATATACATTCATACAATTTTCGATAAAGTCCTATCACTGACCTGACAAAACTTTTCAAACTTTCGAGAACATTTTTTGTTATAAATGCCAAGAACAGCACAGCGGATTTACAACTTCACGGTGGAAATAGAGATAGCGTCATAAATAAATCTTTTACAAAGTTTTATTTCAAGAATCTTTTATTCTCGCATTTCAAGTTTTCAAGTTACTCTTTTGAAGTAAGTAAATATCTTAATTGTTGTCCTTTAATCATTGAATCCGTAAAGTATGACATTGATATATGGCTAAACAAAACATATATACTTACCTATGTTTGAGCCTGCACACAAATATTAAATACCAATGTTGCTCCCAGTGAACCAAATTTAATGAATTATTTGTACATAGATTTGTCTTAATGGCATGCCATCTTGCCAAATTCTAATTTGCAATCAACGTTTCATCACAAGTATTTTTAATTAGTTCGGGACTTAGAGATATTTCCTCATTTATTTTAAATAATATAGGTACGTTTCGCATAATTCTCTTCTACAATTAATTGTTATTAAATTCATAATTAAGTACCATATCAAAATGTCACTATTGAATAATACATATAATATTTTTATCAACAAAGCTGCTGAATACAATTTTCAATTATTGTGTCTTTCAAAGTAGTTGAAAATTAGTTGAGAACTTTTGTTTAATTAGTTTCAGTCTGAAGACGGCTCCGGATCCTTGTTGCTGCTTTACGCCTGCATCTTATCAAGGGGTTGCGAGAAGTAAGTTTATTATGAAAACATGTTTCTTGATTCCCAACAAACAATACAGCTTTAATGTTTTTAATGGCTGTTAAATAAACAACTTTATCATTTTTATTGCTATCATAAAAATGTTTTATTTTAATATAGGTTTAATATACTCGAATTATAGTGATAATATATGTATTATGATATTGATGTAATCCAAATAATTATGATGATAACGCAAAATGTTTATATTTCAGTGTTAAAAAAGATCTCGATGGTAAACTGACCTATTTAGTTTCCACGCAAGTTGAAGGCTCTCTTAACGTGACGACACTTCTTCTCACGGGCCGTGCTACACCTTATTTGCATAATGGAGTACAATATGTGGGCGATGAAGACCATTATGTAAGATGTTCAGAAGATTTATATATAAATAGACCGTTTAACTACCTATTTCATTTAACAAATTATTTTAAAAATTAAGCTATTTAAAACACGACGATTTGTTTTCAATATTGAGGTTAGCAATTTATTCTTGTTTTTCAGGCAATGCCGCAATTTGGCGTTCTATCCAGAAGTTCAGTGGGTCTTCTCGTGTGGTATGGAAATGAGGAAAATGTCGCCAGCAACGACACCAAGCAGTACCCTGGATCTCGTCTGAAAACACCGGCAATGCCTATTTGGGTAAAAACATTTTAAGAAAGAGCGTAGCTCCGTGTTTAATATAAATATTTCTGTACAAGCATAGACTTTTTGAAAGTATTATTAAAAAATCTTTTTATTGGCTCTCATAAGGTACCAAAAAATGACTAATGTAAACACAGTATATTTTTGTAAAAATATTCTTGTATTCATATGTACAGTTTAAAATATAAAATTAATCATGCTTCATATCAGAAAGTATTTATAAATTATAGGTCTTCTTAATCGCACAGGTAACGAGTTGCTCAGGACACTATGGGGTACTGTTCAATACTAATCGCGAGCTTCTCAGAAACTACCACGCTGAAAGAAGGTAAAAAATGTTTTGTAATAAAAAATATATATATTTAAAATGATAATATCCCTTAGTATTTTTTCTTGAAACATCAAGATTCCCACACTAAGTTTCCATTAAAATAATATTCAATATTAGAACTTATTTCAACAAGTAACATAAGAGCAAGTTTAAAGGTATAAGAGAAGCCGATTAAAAATGAACTCTATTGATTGTGTTTTAAGGTTTGATATTCACTATTACACCTGTGGTGGATGCCACGTTCTCTTGAATGTGGACACTCGAGCTCACGAAGACATGGTGCAATTGAGAAATGATGACATCAGCGCCACGCCGCTTGAGAAACTCATTCACACTAAGTAATTTATATAACACTTTCTTTGGTTTTAATATACATATATTAAGATAGTGCTTTTAAAGCGATAGTTGACAAAAACTGCATTCTTCTTTGAACCATTATTTAGTTTGACGGATTAGTTGTAGAATAAAAGTTTCGAAAAATTTATTGAAAGTTATAATTATCATGTCCGATTATAAAAGCAGAAATTAATTTCACTTACAATGTTAAGTTTTAGTTTTATTGAACATCTACAATTATTTATTTCAAAAATATACAAATTGTTTGTCTCTCCGTAATAATTGCTACTTATATCTACGAGTTAAGTGCAATAAAGCACACAAGACAATAACTTTGTCACTATATTATCACACGAAACTGTTTCAGGTGGCAAGACGCCAAGATCACTTGGTCTGGCCCCGTGCCCTTTGCGGATTCTCCCAACTAGATTATTGTCTAATTGCTATCGCTTTGTAGTATTGATGCTTAATATAAATTGAAATAGTTGTCTATGTCAGATATTTCAAATTTAATTTGACGTTAAAATATGCTGATGCATTTGACTTTATCTGTTTTTAGTGTGTAACAATTTTAAAATGGCATGGTTTAATTGATTATTTACAATGTTGCAATTTCTGTAGTAGCAATTTTATGAGAGCACGGAAAATATACATTTCAATTTAGAATGTTATTTTATTTTACATTTTACTTTATTCACTATAAATTCGATGTTATACCTTTGGCGTTTTTTTTTAACTGATATTTATTGAACCTCAAAAAGGTAGTAAAACTTATACTTAGTGGATTTCTAATAACACCTACATACATATTTGTCATCAAAAGATCATTTTCTTTTGACGAAACTTCCACTTGAATCTGGAAAGGGGTTGCTATTGCCTTCAAAAGTATCTTATAACGATAGATGACTGTCCCTCTTGACGAATAAAACGTAATTTATCATGATTGTGTGAATCGAATGTTGCTTCCGACGTTCTTTGAGAATTTCTTTACACTATCAAACCAATTTTACCACTAGCAAAATTATTTGATAGCAACTGTAATATCAAAAATTTTGTTTGTTAGCTAATGTAAAATCTGAAAGTAAATAAAGCAAAACTCTTATAATTTATGTAATAAACTTCACCTAAAATTATTTAATATTCCGAAATGTTCTTAAGTGTTTTTTTAAAAGCTTAAGTCAGTTTTAATTATTGACGATAAAAATGTCGTGTTTCGAATATTAATGTTAAAAAAGTTTTGGTCCATTAATTTTATAATAAAGTTAACACAATTGTTTTCGGGCATTATTTAATTCTAATGAAACATTCAGCCATTACCAACATAAAAAACAAAGGTTTATTTGATTTTCTGCAATCAAAGATCCATATGTTCTTATAGTTTCTGAATTAAACAATTATATGTATATTAGGTTATATTTTGACAAAAATTCTCATTATACAAGGATAATAATTCCTATTTTTAAAATATTGAACATTTGTGCAAATATGTGCTCCTTGCACTAGCTCCTCATATGTGATTTACAAAGTATGTTAGGCATCAGTTTCATTTGAAGAATATTTTATGCATAATTATAGGAGCCGAGACTGTATCCAATACAAAGAAAGATATTTGTCATTTGTAATCATCTGTAACGATATATTTTTAACCTTTAATCCTTTTTTTATAATATGAACATGTCCCAAAACTATAAAGCAAACATAACCGCACTTATTCAAAGTTGATAACGATATGCGAACTTTCTGTCCATAAAATTAAACAAGTTAAATCATCGAATAAAATTTTACTGCTACAGATCTTGTCCGCTTCGGCCGACCGGGTGGGGCAATTAGAGATTGTTATGGCTTTGTTATAGACTAATAACATCACAGACACATAAACGTACAATATTGTAAAAAAACTCTTTATTAGGTTGCTATCTTATTACGTAGTTGCTATTATGGAAATCAATCAAAGTGGCTTAAATATGGCACAAACTACTCAACATTAACATATTTTACCCAAATTTAGAATATTGCTTATAAATTACTTTAACAAACGATTGATTTATTTGACTGACTATTTATTATATGTACCTACTTATATGAATTTTAAGAATTTAAATTAAAAAAATCAAACTATTAATTTATAAAATCGATTAATAATGTAATACATCCTGCCTTTAAATATTAGATTACAACATATCGAATGACCATAGGTAATAATTCATTTTACTAAAAGCATCTGTTGTTTTAATATCTCTGTGCCGCGTTTACGGACAAATTTCGTGAATGGTAGCACTTTGGGTGGACTATACTGATTTATGACGAGCGTCGGTCGTTTGGCTATTGTCCTCGCCAATTATTTGTATGATTTGGACGATGACCACGTATCTTCTAACCTCATTGTGGTTTTAGTGACAATTGTGACCGTTATTATTATAAGCCAAGTTGAGTTTGCTAATAATATCTAGAAAAAATTATAATGAGAAGATTTTTTTGTGAAATTCAATTGTTTATGTACTTTAGGGATCAAGAAATTCCGACTTCAGCGGCTCAGAATATGTGTGTATGGAGATCATCTTGTAAATGGGCATTTAAATAAATTATTAAATCCCAGCGATCCTCATAAACGCTACGCTTTCTTAACACACTTTCTCATCAGCATAGCTCTGTGAAGAGGCATATTCTGTTCTACTATGTAATGAAACTGATTACAATTGTCATACTATAAAAGATTATTGCTCTGAAATAACAGTAACCAAACGTTTAAGTGCTTTTGCTCTGTATGACAAAATGATTTATTTTATCCATCCATACATTATGTAACTTTGTTTTAGTAAGAAGTTTTTGGAAAATAGGGTTCATTTTTCTATGTCATTAATTTTAATGACCAATCATTTTTTTTCATATCTTCAAATTTCTAGCGTTATTTATATTTCTCAATCACAAATAAAGTTGTCGTCAATATAAAGGATTTCATTATGTATCCCATTGCATCAGAACATGGCGCCCACTGAAAATATTCAAAGACTACTTATTATTTTGTATATTTTACGGTAGATATTCTTAATTTCTACAAATTAATGATATTTGAGTCAAATTTACCAGAGATGATTGGATTATATAACGATAAAATTCTAAATTATGATAGTGAATTATTACAATAATCAAAACGGATAAATCTTTTAATTATTACAAACCATATTCACCAAAAAAACTGAAGTTTAACATTATGGTGACTAAGGGTATTAAGCAAGGATAGGTTTTAAAGGAGAACAATATTTTCGAAAGAACACAGTCACGTTTGAGTGGCCTTTAAAACATGTTTAATCAAATGTGTACAAAAAATAAATAAAACAAATTAATATTTCGTTAATTTTTACAACTTGCTCTCATAAAAAATCCCAAATAATAGTAGATATATTATATAGCTGAATGATAATAATTTTGACGCTTTCTGTTTTCAGTGTCATGTCTGTCCCAATTGCATATCACAAAACGAACGGGTTAGTTCCCAGCGGGAAGTGAAATCAGTAGAATTGATTTACTATTGTAGGGGCATTGGAATAGAATATTTATTGACCATTGTGGAGACGATTTTCGGTTATGGTTATGGATTGAATATATTATAGTATTTTGAATATTTATTCATATCACGAAGATAAATCTTTTAATAATTAATTTTCCTAGAAATAATGCCTTAGAGTAATTCCCACTGAATTCAGTGTGATGTAAACATAACAAAGGCTGCTTCAATTTTGTTTGTACGATAATATTCTTTTATTTAAAACGTGTGATTGAATTTAGCAACAGTATTTTTGAGTAGTTATGTTGAACATACCTTGTTTAAGTTATATGAGTTATTTAATTTAAGTAATTATTTACTCATCAATTAAAAAAAAACTCATGGTATTAGTAATTAGGCGCAGTCAATTTTCAACTTGAATTCCTTGTTTTTTTTAAACATTTATTTTTTCCATTTGAACTGTGTTTAATTTATAAAGAAATTAAACCTAAAAGTCAATGGCGATCACGCCAAATTACTTCAATTATCTGCTTTATTTAAACTGTTAAACAGATAATGTGTGCAATAAAGTTTTTTGAGTTGGCTAGGTTTCGAAGTAACGATAAACGAGCAACGAGAGGGTTCGATGAATTGAATTAATGCGGTAATTATTTTAATCAAATTGTTAAACAGAGTTAATATAAGAGCCAGTTTATTTATTCGTATGTATTATTATTTGTTCACTTTTTAGGATAAAAAGGTGTCATGGAACGTATTAGAAACACTAGTTTCTTTAACACATGACCGCTTTATCTGACTTTCTAATATCCCCGTTCTTAAGGGAAGCAAAGCAAAGCAAACTATGCAAGTCGTAACTTTGTAATAGGTGTTGAGGTAACTATTTCCCATCATATGCACTTAAGACCAATTTTTATATTTGTGCCTTACTCAAGAATTGATTTTGTCATTATTATTATTATTTGGCATAAATTGGAAACTCGGAACTTTTTCTAAGAGATATTAAAAAAAACATTTGAAACAAGATTTTTATCAGGTGTACTACAATTTCTATAAGGATACCCACATACAGGAATGACACATGTTAGTTTGTACCCGAGTAAAGCCACATTCAATTGTTATAGCAAATAAATCCAAACGCAATACCTGAGGCAAAGATTTACAGGGAAACTGCGTTTACATAGCGGCATCCATCCCGTTTTGAAACTTCCAACTGAACTTTAATCCTGACTAACGTAATTGCTAAAGTTGGAACACAAAACCATGTTCGCGAAACGCCCGATTTAGTGTCAGACGTTTCGTAATTGATGTAGAGGCTTCGCGGCTTGCCAACTTCAACGATGAAATACGTTTTCTTTGTAAAAAATTTTGTTAAAATTAATTTCTGTACAATAAATTTTATAAATATCCTCTTAATCGCTTACTAACGCCTACAGCTGCTTTTAAATTTCCAGTTGAGATGTTGTATATCCTTAATCCTACAGTGTTTTAGATTTTCTTTTCAATTATTTACGACCTATGCTTCACAGTGTCTAAAACTTGATTTTTAATGTGTTTTTTTTAATGATCGATAGACCTTTTTATTTTGATCCCATTAATCTTGTTTAGAACTAATAAAGAAGTGATACCTAAGGTAACATAATTCTCCATAAGCTTTCTAGATCACATTACTCTAGCTCATTTATGTACAAGTTATTTTATATGGAACCTTATCAGATTTCAATTATATTGTTTTTATTGAAAATTTTTGGAGAATGAGAATACACTTCTTTTGCTTCAATTTAGTTTTGCTTAGTGCCATATTTCAATAAATCCATATTTTACCCATATTACCCATATATCATATTTAATAGTCATCCGTTGTAAGATTTTTCCAAATACACTGTATTTTCAAAATATGAGTATTAAATACAACAAAGCCAAGAG